TGAACATCTTCCCAAATCATAAAGCTTTGTTTCCGAGAGTGCTGCACCACATAAAACAGAAGTTTGTAGATGAGTCGAATATTTTAAGGAAGGCCTTAAAGATGAGCCAAGGGTTTGAAAACGCCCATCTCAGGAAATCAAGCAACTGTGACTGAAGTCCAGAAACCAGGGGAAGAAAACCATAGAACTGCCATTGATATGGAAACTACTCTGCCACCTCTCTGTCAGCACGTCATACTGAGGTGGCCTGGCTGTTGCTGTGACACTGAAGGCTCTGTCATGAAGAGTGAACAGGTGTTAGTAGAGCTCACGGATTGACTGCAGACTACAGAGAAGGAATCCGCTGTTCACTTCGGAGGATTTAGCGGCTAACAGCCCTATGGATGGGAACACTGTTGTTGAAAACCTCATGAACAGAAGCACAACATTATCAGAGAAAGTGCCAGAAGATGGGCCCCTCCGGTGGAAGGAAACCAAAATGTAACTGAGGAAGAGCTGCCTTCTCAACACAGAGTCAAACATAATGATGGAATAAAGGCGGCAGGAGTGACACCTCTGGGACCGTCATTTGTTGATGGAGCATGACTCAACATGAGAAAAAACAGCTGCAAACATCAGTTAATAATTGGAATTTGGAATGTACAAATATGAATCTAGGAAAATCGGAACTCATTAAAAATGAAATGGAATACACAATTGATGTATGTATGGATTGTGATAAGAGTTGTATGTGCCCTTAATAAAATGATTTTTTTTAAATGAAACGGAATACATAAAGGTCAATATTCCAGGAGTTAGTGAGTGAAATGAACTGGTATTGGCCATTTTGAAGCTGAAAATCATATAGTTAACTATGCCGGGAATGATGATGCTATCAGAAGGAATGACATTGCATTCATCATCAAAAAGGACATTTCAAGTTCTATCTTGAAGTACAGTGCTGTCTGTGATAAGCTAATGTTGATCCTCATACAAGAAAATCCAATCAATACAATTGTTGTTCAAATATATGCACCAACTATGAAAGCTAATGCTGAAGGAATTTAAGAATTCTACCAATGTCTTCGGTCTGAAATTGATCAAACATGCAATTAAGATGCATTCATAATTATTGGTGATTGGAATGCAAAAGTTGGGAACAAAGAGGAGGAACAGTAGTTGGAAAATCTGGACTTGGTGATCAAGTCAAAGCTGGAGATGGCATGATAGAATTTTGCAAGGCCAAGGACTTTTATTTTTAAATCATTTTATTGGGGGCTCACACAACTCGTATCACAATCCATACATACATCAATTGTATAAAGCACATTTGTACGTGCGTTACCCTCATCGTTCTCAAAACATTTGCTCTCCACATAAGCCCCTGGCATCAGCTCCTCATTTTTCCCCTCCCTCTCTACTCCCCCAAAAAGAAGTTGTTTTAAAATAACCTCTAACAGCTGAAATAAGTTTGGGGTGTTGTTTTCGGTTTGTCTGAAAAGCCCTGAGTACACTTGTCCCAGTGACCTGCACTTTTCTACTTTAAACAAAAGCTAAGTATCTAGATACCATTTCTAGTTGAAAACATCCCACAGCACGCCCCAGACAGTGGAAAGCATCAGATATCAACTTTGCCTGTAGGGATCTTCAAAGCAAAGGTGCCAAGTGCTGTCTGAGAACCTGATAAAAGCAGGTGCTTGTGCTTCTGGTTCAGCTGTAGCTCCAGACAGGATCCAAAGATGAGTTTCTACTGACCTCGTCTCTGGGTTTTATGGAGACTTGCTTTACCCTTCTGTGTTAGCCTCTTCAAGTACCGCAGCAACCCTAAAAGGGCACAGAAAGGGCGGTAAGTTTCCTTTTTCAACAAGACAAAAGGTGACTCTTCATGGGGCTCCTCCAGATGGAACACACAGAAATCAAACTGACTGCAGCTGTGCGAAGAGACGGTGGAGGGGCTCAATATCAGCAGCTACAATCAGGCCAGGGGCTGACTGTGGAACAGACCATCAATTGCTCACATGTAAGTTCAGGTTAAAGCTGGGAAAAGTTTTTTTAAAGTCTATGAGAGCCAACATACAAACTTGAGATTATCCCACCCAAATTTTGAGAACATCTCAAGAAGAACTGATTTGAACACTAATGACAGGAAACCTGGTGAGCTCTGGGATGTCATCAAGAACCTCATCCACATGTGACCTCCTCCCTGGGGGACGGACAACAGAAAAGTGGGTGAAGGGAGAC